TAATACTCGAACCTCTGGCTTTCAGCTTCATCTGCGGCACTGTGGGATAACAACTGATGGCCCCTTTCCAGCCAGGTGGCAGACACAGCAATAATCTTGGAAATACTAGTTTTAATGTTCAGAGAAAAAATGTGTGTCTCTGGTGCTTGTATTTTCAAATTTCTATTTATCATTTAAAAAAAACCAAACAAATGCTCTCCACGTCTCCACTCTATCTTTCAGATTGTTAGGGAGAGCACAGTGGGGGCATTTCTACATGATTTGCATTGAAGTAGTGCAAATTAAATGCCATGCATTTAATTACTTTTAAGTCTTTACTCTTGAGGATAATTGTGGTGTGTGGCACATAGTAGTAATAGCTTACCTATCCTGGAGGTGATGAATACCAACTCTGTTCTGCAGATGCAAATGTTACGTTCAGACTTGCATATCATTAAGAAGACTATTTGGTGATAATGATAACCTTATCTAAAGCATGAACAGATTTCTCAACACGTTCCCTCCCATTTTCTGAAGTCTTTAATACCAACCCACTGGATTCCTAACCTGATGTGTTTCTATGCCGGTAGATATTTACTTTTGTTTAACATTTACTTAGTGCTCCTCTGTTTTGTTTTCCCAGGGAAAGCATATATTTGAACATCCTAACAAATCCTCTTTCGCTAGTCCTGTCTACAATCTGGACTCCAAGAATTCGAGAAAGCATCCAGGTCACTTTTTCAAGTTAAAGGCTGGGGATTTAAAATCTCTGGAAATGACATCTGTGCTTTACTGTTTTACATAAAATCAGTCATACAGATGGTTTCCTTCCTGTGTACTTTGAGTAATATGAACAGTAATTCCATGTCTTGCTCCTAGAATTGCTCTTTTGAGTGCATTGTATATATTTACGGCAAGCACACTGTGAAGCTTTCTATTACCCTTTGCATTGCAATGTAAGAAAGATACTGTTGTTGTTTTTAAAATAGATTTTTCATTTAAGGTACTCTTGGAGAAGTATTGAAAAGCAGGGAAAGTCAGGGAAAGCAGCAGCAGCCTCACTGGTGCTGAAGAGACAAGGCAAGGGAAGCAGACTGTACAGAACGCCAGAGATGAATGGCAGGTATCATTTGTCACTGTTTTGTGTAAAAAGTAGTTCGGGTAGTTCCTCCTCCTCATTCCCACCCATTTGGACAGGCTTTATTTTCATTTATAACAGGATTTTGCCCATAACCGGTGCCTCAAAAGCCCTGCAGAATTCCTGTTTCAAGTTGTTCAAACTTTGAAAGTATCTTTGATTTCATCTGTAGAGGTTCTTGATATTAAACTGTCCCAGCCAGCAAGTCACTGAGATAATGTGTGTAGCTCCAAAATCTTCGGGCCGTTTCAGTTGTTGCATGGCAGACTAGCTCCTAAGTAACAGATTGAGTGAGCACCTCAGGCCAGGGTATTGGCTTCCTTTTCTAGTCAGTGTCTTGTATCAAAGACTCCATCCACTGAAGAATTAATTGTCTTCTGATACAAAGTGATGCTTGTCTAATGTGTAGAAAAGCTCAGTGAAAAGCAAAACTTTCTACTTTATCCAAGTCTGGTTGCTATATGCTGCATGAGTTTCAGGAGGTTTCTCCCCGATCAGGGTCTTGCATTCCTCCTCTGGAGTGTCGCCCTGCGTAAGATGACTACAAATCCCTTGTTACCGTCTGCTGGAATCTGTTGCCTATTTGTTGATTTTCATCAGTCTTGAAAGAAGGGTATGTAGAAACTTTGCTTTGAAAGTTTCCTTTGGAACGTGATTTAGTTACATCTTTCATTCCATAACGTGTAATCAATCTGTAAGATGCATCAAGAACAACTCCAGTGCAGATGTGAAATTGGAAGAGATTCTTCCTGACTCTTGTCAGTGGAGTGTGACATCAGGTTGCAGTTTCTGTCCTTCTTTATGACCAATGCTAGCACTAGCTGTCTTCTCCATGTAATCGCTTTTGCCTCCACACTGCCTCTTGAAGACCCAAGATGTGAATTTGACTGATGACTACCAGGTGATGTTTTTCAAGGAGTTAGTATAGAGTCTTAACACCCAAGGCAGAAATGCAGCCTGGCATTTTCCTGGGTTCTGTGAACTTTTGAAGGTCGCTCTGGATTGTGGAAACCAGCCCTGGGAACTCTTCTCCTGGGATGGCCAAATGACAGCTTACTTAAAGCATACTGTCTTCACATTCACCATGCCTGCCTTCGCTTAGTCCTTAGGGATGTTTGGTCTACTTGTGCATGTGTCTGAAATGCAAATATTCCCATGGGAATTGGGAGATCTTCACTGCCTTTTGCAGTGCTGGACCAGCAGAAAGAGCAGACTCTGAGAAGCAGGTAACTGATCTCCTGCACTTAGTCTTTGAGATCTGTGTTGCCCAGACTTCTGCGGAGAAGAATGTGAGCTGAGCTCTCCAGGAGGTCTGGGTTATAGTTACAGACAAGGAAATGGGTTTTGTTGTTCCATGTTAGGTAAATCCCATCAGCTGCAGGAATCTCATCACCCAAGGAGGGAGGACTAGCAGAATCCCAAGAGTGCTGGGTATTTATAGAGCAGATGTTTCTGTGTGAGATGCTCATAAGGATACATTTTCTGATGTGTTAGTTACAACATTAAAACTGCAAAGTTTGATGTCTGGATAACTTATTCATAGCATTAATTAGCTATTAATTTGATCCTGCAGAGTTTTCATGCTTATTTATGTGTGATACAAGTGGGAATTTTTTCTTAAGGCATTAATTTTCAGTAATTTTTTCTATAGTTGAAGATACGGCAAGTGATATCAGCAACCCACGCTTTTACTGATGCACTTTTATAGTATCTTTTTCAATTATAACCTTATCAATATCTAACTTAATATTAATCCTAATACAGATCAAGAAAAAGAAAGAAAGATACAAAATACTGTGATGCTGTTGATAACCAAAGCAGTAAAACAAATGTGCTACAAGTGTGGTAGCACAAATGGACTGTAGAAAAATCTCTTCTGAATGGGCCATGGGGCAAGAAAGGTGTGAAGGATTTATATATTTTTTTGGCAAAATTTTATTTATTTACTTTTTTAAGTCTGCAAATGTTCCTTGTGTATTTTAGCTCTCTATTTCTAATAGTTAATGAGGGAATAAGAAATGTGATACACAGCTCCATTTTTAGTGCATTTCTGTCACCTTCAAGCTTAGTAAGTAATGTTCCACTTTACTAGATGTGCTTGGAGGTGGAGCTGCTATTGTTTATTGTTACAACTACTGAAAGGTTTCACAGAGAACTTGAATTCTAATTTCAGTTTCATAAAGACTTTACATTAAAATTCACATTTGGGCTTTTGATATGAAAGGATTAGTACAACTGGAGATGGAAAAACAGCATGTAGAATTCTCTCTTCCGTATATCCTCTGGAATCATATTTTAATATCCACTTTACCTGCCCTGTATCAGACGTTGCTAGAGGTGAGGCTGTGTGTTAGGATTTGGGGAAAGGATTCATTTATCTGTGTGTTTCACTTGTGTTCTTAATTGAAGGTTAATGTGCTATTACAGCAACCAGCTCACAATTAAGTGTCTTCAGATTTTGAGAGGTCTCTGAGAAAATGTGGGGGTTTCCTACTCATCCAATTAACATACCCACCTGCCCAGGTGATGGGGGGACATGGGAGGGGACCGTGATTGATTTGTTAATTACTTGGAGATGGGCAGTCCCACTGGTTGGTTAAGAAGAAAAACTGGCTGCAGGATCCTGATAGCAGAAGGTAACGATTGTGTCCTTAGCTTTTGAGAGCTAACCTTACATGGGTTTGTAGAATTCAAAGACCCTGAAAGCTGAAATGTTGGCTGTGGTGTTGTCGAAATTTGTGCGTTTTAGCTTTGAAAAAACTTTCTGTATAGGTTTTGCCAGCGAGCACTATTAAGAATTATCTTGTCACTTCATTCCACACACACCCCCAAAAAAAAGGAGAAGAAAAATTAAAAAGAGAACCAAAAAAAGTCAGCATTTGAAAATTGCCTTGAATTTTCTGTATTTATTGGGTAATGGCAGGTTGATGCTTACGCAAGGCTGGAGCTTCAGTATGTAGTGTGCACGCTCACTGGGCAAGCGAGGCTAAGTTCATAGCTCCCTTCTGACAGTTTCTACAGTCAGTCCCATCCTGACTTCTTTGGAGCAGATGAGGAGCCAAACAGTTTTATATACAGGTGGATTAAATAAAATATAGCTTATTGCACACTTGTTTTTAATCTTTTTCATTTTTCAGTTTCTGGGGCCATGAATACTGCTGAGCAGTTTTGTGATTTTTTTTTTTTTTAAATCTTTTTCTTCAGGTGATGAAAGTATTTTTTCGGATTAGAAGTTCTGGCTTTGAAATTAAATTTTTGGTTTGCATATTGTTTGCTCTGAAAACTCCTGTCCAGTTTAAGGTATACGACTGAACTCGCTAGCAACTCAGCAAAACATGTTTGTAGGCACCTCTGTGACTTTTCCCCTTTCGTTCAGATTCAGGGAGCTGCAGATGTGCATTGCCCGTATTTTACTGAGATTTAATAGGTTTGTCAGATTACTTTGCCTCCAAATTGTTCATCCAAGGTAATGAGTTCTTAATAATTGTAATATAAATCGACACACCTTCAAATTCATGGTGAAGGTTAGAGGGCTAAATTTTCTTTTAAATCTCTCCTGTTAGGAATGTAAGTTCAGATGGAGCAGAAGCACGCAGAAGACTAAGGGAGTGTGATGGCTTGGTGGATGCGCTCCTTCATGCTCTACAGTCTGCAGTTGGCAAGAAGGATACAGACAATAAGGTGAACTTGAGTATTAAATCTTAATGGATATTTCCATTAATTTAGGCTGAAGGGTTGCGCTGGGATCTGACTTTTATTTGCTAGTATCAGAAGAGGATTATGCCTGCCTCAGAAAATAGAGTAATTATCTTCCTCTCATCTCTGTCATGATATCCCCAGTACTACTGATGGGGTGTCAGCACGATGCTGCTATGTTACGTTGTGTGGCTGATGAGGTGAGCAAAGGCAAGTGGTTGCGATAGGCTGGGAGAGTAGTCCTGTATTATTGTCGGTGACATTATTGCTGTTGTTCTGCGTTACTTAATTGATATTTATAAGTGCAGTCTCCAAATTAGAATTGAGTCTCGTTGTGCTGTGCTTTGCACAATACCAGCAAAGGAGTCAGCGCCCATTTTAAAGACTTTATTCAGCACCACCTCTAAAGACTGTAGTGCTTAGACATTAAGATATGTCTTCAGACCTGCAGCACTTTCATTGTGGCTTTTTTTCAGCTGCAGATTTTGATTAATCTGTTTTTATCATCATCTCATCCTGTGGCGCTTAAAAGCGTATTTCTGTGCATAAAGAATATCATAAGTTTAACCTGTTTAAAAAAGAAAGAGCATACTATTGCTTTATCACACCAGTAAGGCTTGTAAAGCATTGTTATTTTATTCTTTCGGAGTTTCAACATGTGATGATACAAGGGAATTCTAAAGCCCTGTCACTTAATCAGATAATTCTGGAAGTGGATTTTGTAACCACCTGATGTGCTATGGATTAGCTATTACTACAGGACAACGTGTGCTCTCATTGAAATCCTCACAAGGCCCAGGTTTTGACCCAGGGAAAATTTAATAAAATGGGCCCCTGGGGGATTGTAAAGGTTGGAAGAGTGAGAGAGAGGCTTGTATTAAAATAAGATCTTTATATGATCATTTTCCACTTTGTGTTTGATCTTTTGGTGAATTGTATTCTTTATGTAAGATCAGGTGGTATTTTTGATTAGAGAGTTTTCATTTTGAATGGGTGCTATTTATAAACTGCTTCACTTTTGGAAGAATAAAATTGGTTTTAGAACAAGAATGAACCTTAATTTAAGGGATCTTGACTAAATCTTCCTGGAAAGCTACATCCTTTTCCTGGGGCAAGTGGGCTTTTTTTTACATTCCCCCAAACCCTCCACTCTATAATATGATGGTTTGAAAATAAGAGGGTGCAATACTTATAACACAAATTTGTCTGTAACAGTCTGTGGAGAACTGCGTGTGCATTATGCGGAACCTTTCCTATCACGTCCACAAAGAGGTCCCTGGAGCCGATAAGTACCAAGAATTAGATGCCAGTCAGGCTACAAACACGGGAGGCTCTCAGAAGAAGAAGAAAGACGATGCTGGTTGTTTTGGTGGAAAAAAAGCTAAAGGTATGTGTTGCAGAGAGCAACTGGAAATGGATTTGGGGGTAAATTTTGCTGTGTAAGCCTGCTCTTGCAAGCACATTCATCGTGCTGGTTTAGAATGATGCAGTTTGTGGAGATACATGTTTGTAGTGTTGTGGCATGTATTTGTTCATCTCCCTTGGTGCATCACTAATAGGTATTTGGGATTTTTTTCTGCAATTGCTGTAGTTTCGTTTGGCTTCAAATAGGAGTGGTGCATGCTGACAGATGACACTCTGCTGTTGGACAAAGGTGGATGTGCTCTGCCTCTCCTCTGCACTGCCGTGTTCTTGCATCTGTCAAATCTATGCTTAGTCCACTTGCTTGGCTGTATAGCATGTCGCAGCCTCTCGAGTCAGGCCAGCACGTGTTCGTCCCTGTACATGGTAGTCCTGTCTGTACATCTTCCGTGCCTCCAGCCTCTCACTTTTGAAAACAAACTAAAAGCCTACCCTCGCACTGACAAACAAAACATACAACCTCCCAATTCTGTCATTCTTTCAGTAATTTAAATTGCAAACATGATTTTGTAGCTTTTAATTGTCAGTCACTTTTAGACCTGTTCTCCCCTCTGGGGCATGAGTGTTGCAAATGAGTTTCATTACAAGAGAGGATTAATAGTCTCGGTAACCCCCGTTCCATCTTTCCTTTAGAAAGAGACACTCAAATTATATCAATTTTCTTTGTTGTTTAGAGAAATGACTATTCTAGACTGAATTCAGAGATAATTAACTCCGTTTTTTGACTCTGCTCCGTTTTCCTTATTCATGTGTGCTCACATCCTGGCTTACTATTTATAGCCAGGTCTAGGGAAGCTTTTGGTCCTGAAGAGACAGTATGGAATTGTTTGAACTTGACGGACTCTGTGCTGCACGTTCCTCCTCCTTTGATCTGACCTGTACACGTTGTTAAAATGTTAATTGTTTCCATATGTGTTAGGAAAGTTACCACAGTGTGAACTTGCTTTTGCAGACTAGTCTGTCATCAACTAGATTTAAGCTGTGTTTTAAAAAAAAAAAAAATTGATGGGAATCTTTTAATGACTGGGGGAAGAACTGAAGAGAGCATTTTACCTGCCTGGCCAGCCTGTTCTCACAGCGAATGCTTACAACTTCAGCGTGATACCCTTTAGAAACCTTGAACGTGTGCTGACTCGAGCCCGTTCCCCGCCACTTGCGGTCCCTGTTGTTTTGCTGCTTGAGAGCAACACAGTCAGTGAAAACATTTTTAGACATAAAAGCTATGAGTGTGCACTGTGGGAGGAGCGTGCTGATTGAGAATTGTCATCATCCTCTTGGTGACAGTGAAAAGAGAGCGCTCTCAGGCGGCTGTCCTTTGTGGAGCGTCTGCCTCTTTCCTCGGCGCCCGACCTACGGGTACCTGCTGTGGCTGTACACCCTGATAGTTTCTGTTTGTCAGCCAAAGCATCTGATCATGTCTTTTTGGACAAATTGGGCTCAAAATCATTTGATGCTGAGGATGAACCCACAGGTTTCAGTGAGCAATGCAGGCGCTCAGTGACAGCTTGGGTTTGGCTCTGTGTGTTCAGCAGAAAAAGGAAATTACAATTTCCAAAGTATATTTTAACATTTTTTTTCCTCCTTTTTGCAGCGCTCTTTTTAAAGCGTGATGTTCTCTAGAGGGAAATCAACTGGTAATAATGCTGAGCTCACAGCTGGTAGTATGTAGATCAGAAGGATAGAGGGGGACAGGCAACCTTTGTGTTTAAAAAAATAAAAATTAAAATGCATTAATAAATATGCTTTTAAAATTGTAAAGAGAAGCTTCCTTTTCTCACTGTTAAATTTATGTGAATACTTGGTCTGCACCTGCCTTAATTTTCTTGGTCTAGGACTTTAAAATAGATAAATTCTCCCCCCCCCGTTCACTTAATTTTGCAGTGTTTCCATGTTTATTTTATTTCATGGTCATTGATCATAGCATTTCAAACATTCCTGCAAAGGGCTTCTGTTCCCTCAATTCTATGAGCACCTTTTCGTTTAATGAAAAGAGGAAGAAAAAAAAGCTGTGCAGAGAAAGATTGGGGTTTTTTCGGCAGGAACAAAAGGGAGAAAGTGGAATATCTTGGTTTGTTTTGTTTTTTTAGTTGATGAAAGTTCTGTAGTATTCTTGTACTACTCAGGTTTTGAACCTATTCTGTGAAAGTCTGCCTCTTTGTGACTGTTCCTTTGTATTTTTTTCCTTCCTGTAAATTTTTGTTTTTCTTTTGCTGCTTTTCTGGTAATTAGAGGAGTGGTTCAATCAAGGTGAGTCTTTGCAATACTTTCTTTTCATCATCGCCATAATATGCTTTGTTCAGCTTTTACCTGCAAGGCTAAGAGCTGAGATCAAGGTCTTGTTCATTCACCTTCTCCTCTGCTCCCCCAGTGCATCCTCCTGTTCATTTCAGTAGGCATGGAAATCCTCTGATTGAGTGAGCATTTTCAGTTTGGTCTTCCCACACTGAGAGTAGAAAAGACAAGATTTTATTCATTCCTGGTGTAAGTGCAGTAAGAGAATTGATTTGCAACTGGCCTGATAGCCCCATGAGAGGGGGAACACCTATGTGTGCAAGTTGCCTCACCAGCCCTGTCATATCAAAGCACAGCTTTGCTAGCTGCTCTGGGTTGCAGTAGCCATGAAAACTCAGCAGCTTGGATGTGGATTCTCAGAGATCCTTGGTATTTTGTCTGCTTGGGTGTGCATGCCTGGGCTGCTGCATCTTTATTACTGGCACTCAGACTAGCTAGGTGAAGCTACCCCCAGTAATTTCCTCCGGGGATTCGCCCTTTTGTTTTTCATCCCAGCATAAGTAGTAAAATTGCAATTGGAATACACAAGGCTGAGGTTAAAGTTTGCCTCCCTCGCTTCTCAGCTGGGAAATTGTTAGGCTGTGAGTGCCCTGGAGACTTCCACTGTGTTACTGAGACTGACTGGGGGGCAAAGGCAGGGCCGTTTTCAGTTTATGACACTTGCTTCAGGTCAATGCATTCTGGAGGGCTGAGCCAAAGGAGAAATGTTGGGGGGTTGGCGGGGGAATTGCTCTACCCAACAAATGGTGCTCAGTAGCGTTCTGACACACACTGATTTCACACTGTGGCTGGTGAGCCTGTGGAGGACGGGCATGTTGGCAAGACAGAGCTCAGCCCTTGCTTTCTGTCGCTGCGCTGCAGTCCGGTTCAGTGGGTAACACGAACAAGCACAGTATTGGCTGTCGGGGGAAGTGAGGGGGGTTGTTATGAAGAATCATTCTTTAACCAGAAAGCAAGTGTTTGGGAATTAATCCTTCAGCAAATATGGTCTAGCTGAATCACTGTTTTGATTATCTGATAAAACAAAACAACATTTGAGGAAGATCAACAACAACATTAGTGGTTAATAATGCTGGGGCACACCTCAAAGTCTGTACTGAGTTTCTGACAGATTGAAAATGCTGAAGGTCATGTTTTGGTTGTTTCTTACATAATGAAAAGTAGTAGGGGAGAGAGGGAAAGAATTTTAATCCCACTGTTTCAGAGACTGTAAATTACATCTTGCACAAGCAAGTCTCATGTCAGGCAGTTTTCCCAAACCGGAGTGCTGTGCCAATTCCTACAGCCAGGTCTCATAAAACAGACCTGTCAGCAGGCATGTTTAGAGCTGTCTGTCTCTTGGCAAAGTTTGGAGCCATGCTTCTGATCCAACAGCATCATCTTTTCTCTGGTGTACCTCAGGCTGGAAAACTTGGGGAGCAGGGAGATGCGTAGAAGGGCAGCAATTGAAGGGTACACAACCAGGGTCTTAAACTTCTTTTCTACTGCTAGTGCAGTCATTTCAGCATCCCTGTGTGCTGTCATTACTTGCAGGCTTGAGTGGCTGAGGGGGGTTCAGTGCTCCAGAAGCTGGCAGTGAAGCTGGTTTTCTCATGGTAGCAGTCAGATCAGGGGATGGCTGAGAGTTTTGTAATTGGGAGGCTCCTGAACTCACTAAATTTGGTCACTTTTTTAGAAACTCCAAACCAGTATTTGTGGGTCCTGTGACAATCAAATTGGAAAAATACCAGCTGGACCACAGATTGAAACCTTTGCTTCCTAGATGGATTTCTTTTTGAGACTTCTTAGAGCTTGGTCACTTTCCCACTATGCAAAAGCCTTGGAAAATGTAGGTGCTTCAGGTATTTCTGAACCTGGCCCTTGCTCAATTTGATTAAGCAAGTAATTTGCTTGAAATCCCCTTGGTCAGAGCTCTGTGTTCTGAATTGCTTCCATTCGTAAACAGCTGGCAGCTCCTGGTTTGAACAGACGTGGGTTTTGCCTGCAAGGTGTGTTAGTGTCTCAGAGAGACAAACTAGCAAAGCTTCATAGAAGGCAGCCAGTCTGGCCCAGAAATTGAGAAACCGTGACTGAAGATCACAGAGCCCAGGTGGAGTGTGCTGTCTTAATGAAAAATTGTTTAGTAAATAGGCAGCTGCTTCTGCATTGTCAGCTCAGAAGATGTAGCAGCCAACACTGCTCTTCTGGACAATCTCTTCCTTAAGTTGTGCACAAATACATACTGCTTGCTAAACGTTGCACTAGGAAGTAGGGAACTCTTACTATGCCATCTCAGTTTTTCAGGGCTAATAGAAGTACCAAACCCCAACCTTTAAATTACAGTGAGAACTTCTGAAATGAGTAGTTGTGTTGAATAAGGTCTGGGTCTCTGAGTCAATGTTCTGAAATTTAAGCTAGCTAATGCCAGAGACATGAAATTTGGGGTCATGTGAAAAAACAGTTTGTCCTACTTCTAGATAAGATGTAGTCACATTTATTGGGCTGCCTTAAGTCTGCAATCTTTCCTAAACACTGACTGACTTCCTTCAATGTTTTGGGTTTTTGTTGGTTGTTTTTTTCATCTCCTCCCTCTGCCCTGCTTTTTCCTGTCAGTGCTCTAAGGGTCAACAAGGGTTTGCAGCCAGGAACTGGGTTCAGCTGCCATTATGAAATGCGATGTCCTTTGGTGATGTGCAGCATTTTTTCTTTCTGGTATTTGGTTCCCTAAGCAACATGTTTCTTGTTCTTTCATGGAGCGAAAACTTGATACAGGGCTGCAAAGTGCAGCTAATTCCTGTCCCTTCCTTTAAAAAAGATACCTTTCAAAGGAGTGGCATGGGACCTGGCTGCACGACCTTTTGGCAGCTTAAATGGGCTTTTTCATGCTTTAATTAGATGAACAGAATGATGAACAGAACTTCTAGATGCATGTTTTGTTTTGCAGTTAAAGCTGTCTGGTATTCTGTGTTGGCATTTCAAAACAAAAATGTGTGATATTTCCAAAGAAAGGGAAGGGATGGAATTCTACCTTGAGGGGTTTTTTTTCCCCTCTTGATGTTACTTCTAAATATTCATATTGGCATTTAAAAGCTCTGTTTCTTCTCTATATAGTACTGCACGTGTTTATCCTGTTGTCAAGAGGAAAGGGAGAGTGGCCCATTGAATTCAGTGTGCAGAAGCTGTCCCTGCTACAACAGGGCAAGGATTGGCCTTTCCCATTTCATGACCTATTCTCAGTCAAGAGCCAGGCTAATGTCCACATTTCACTTTCAAGGACCATTTTCCTGTTTGCTTTTAAGCATCGTGACTGGTGGAGCTTTCAGCCCTTCCTGTGAACCTCCATTAACAGCCTGGTAGAGCCCCTGTTCAGAAGCCACCTCTGGCAGCTTAATTTGTGCTGTTCTGAATTCATCCCATCACACCTGCCTCCCTGCTCTTGAGGGAGAGGGACTAAATAACTTGATTTTCCTCCCCTCAAAAGAATTTGGGAAAGCTAAATTGTACACTGCTGTCCTCAGAAGCCACACAGATTCCTGCACTTCCTTCCAAATCTGTCTGTCTCTGCTGTCAGTACTTCTCTGGTGGCAAGGTGCCTGCTTATCCCACAGCATCCATGCCGGCTTACCCAAGGCAGTGTGTCTCCTTGGGAGGGAGAAGGGATGAAAATTAACCCTTCCCTCCCCAGCTGTTTACATAACCTTGAATTCCTGACCTAACTAAAATTATAGTCCAGGCTTTGTTCTGCTTTCTTTGAAGGATTGTATAAATTAAAGCTGATTTAATGGTTTGAAACTGTCTCTTAGCAAAAGTATGGAATTATTTCCATTAGTTTCTAATAAATAGTCAAAATGGCACTTTATTGATTGAAGAGTTTGATTCAAGGTTAAGTTGTTGGCTGCTGGCTGTATAATGTATTAAATCTAGACCTCAGTGCATGATAGTTGCAATGAGAATAGAGGCTGCAAAGCAAGCCTGTTGTTTTTTGCTCTGGTGCTCAGTTCCTGCTTCAGCTAAGCTTCAGGTCAAAATTCCTCTGTGAAAATAACAAGTAAATACTGGGCTTCTGAGGGAGGGACACAGCTTTGCAAAGAAGGAAAATGGCACAATTTTCCAAGATTTTAAGCACTCTTAAGACCCACTGAAACAAACGCTTGTGCTAAGCTTGTTTGCAGACCAACCTGAAAGTAGCACGGGTTTTTGTCCCTAAGTTGTTCATGCTAAAACCACAGCTATACAGCTGGATTGCAAGTCAGATAGGTACAAATATGGATAATAGTCTGTGATTTATATTCTGAGTCTCTATCTTCTCTCATCTTGTAGATTCACATGACAGGAACTTACCTGTCAGTATACTGATAGTCTTTTCAATCTGTTGTCTTTTTTTTTGCACAGGAAAGAAGAATGGAGATTTGGACAGGAATTTTGATACACTTGATTTGCCTAAGCGGTCTGAAGCAGCAAAAGGTAATGCTAATGTTTGTGCTTTTGGAAATAACAAGTAGCCTGGGAGCTGGAGGCCCTTAAAGGGACGTGAGACATGATCATATCGGGCTGATCTCTTTCTTTTGTATTCAGTTAATTGAAATAATAGATGCGTCTGTGCTTGTTGTTATCTAATATTCAATACTGGATATAACCAGCTTTTATGTAAAGCTGCTGAATTGGTGGAATATCGTAGAAGCCCATCAGATTTGGTGTTAGGTGATTGTAACTCCATAGAGGGGCGAGTGCATGCTCTCTTCCTTTACAACTCCATTTGCAAATCACCTGCGCTAGATGTGCACGTCAGGAGTTAAGAAATGCAGTAGGTGAGCGTACTTATCACTAGCTTTTTCTGTTCCTTGACATCTCTGTAGTTCTTCAGTGTTCTGATGAATTGGAGAGTGATGGCAGGAATGAGTTCAATTTTTTTGTCTTTACGGATGGTTGGTCTTCTCCTGAATACAGTATTCCTCCCTGTCTGTAGTGCGTAGTACTTGCAGTTTTCCAAAATCAGGAGGTTCACAGAAAAAGTCTTGTGCATTGCGCTTTTGTATTTCAGCCCTCGCAGAGGTGAAATCTTACACAAAAAATCTGCCTTCCCATCCTGCATGCATGGTACTCATTTTAATTGGAGATTAGGAGATGATTTTTGGATCTCATCAGACTTCTTCCAGCATTGGCCGGTGTTTTGAGACTTGCACACGTTTTCACTCAAAGTGTATGCAATGTCATTGCAAAGATTCAGCCATTGTCATGGCAACTGCTGCCGTGCCACCCTGCCAGCCTTGCCTTGCAGGAAAAACTCTCCCATAGCACCCTCACCTTACTGATCTGCGAATACCCAGAAATGCCTGAGTATTCTTCAGAAGGAAAATCTTCAACTCTTCCTGTATCACTTGTACAATTTTGGAGAGTATAAAGAGACAGTGTGACTCAACGGGGGAGATCCTTGGACTTGGGATACCTGAATTATGCTGCTTTAGTGACCTTGATCGAATCAACTAATTTATTATTCAATTTCCTTACTGTTAACTGAGGGCAGCAACAGCAGCCATATCTAACATCCTTAGAGATGTACTGGTAGTCAGTCATGGTATAATAATTATACACATCAAGTGCTGCACTCTCACTTAAATTCATGGGCAGTGAAGCTCTGATGATACGCAAACTAATCCTAATATATAGATGGATCTAATCTATTTACTGATCCCCTTTACAGTGGGTACACTTTCTAGGCTAATGTCTAAACACTAATTTTCATTTGGTGCATTATTGCACAAGATACCGATGCACCTCTTAGAAGGTGCAATGCCATCCTATTTGGAGAGCTGCAGGAAAATTCTCCTAACCAACCTTCGCTTTAATGTCACCAGTTCAGGGCTGGAGACGTCTTCAGGATGCAGAAAAGGAAAGCAAAGCAAAATATAACAAGGGCTCCAGCGCTTTCATTCCTTTCTAAATGTGATTGGAATGTAGGTACCACTAAAGGGAAAAGATGGAAATCAAGGATTTCTGCAAAGGAATGGATCTTGCATAACTTTCTTTAAAATAAGCTAAAAATCTTTCATGTGGTTTTGCTAATGGTAGAAGTGTTGTGGCCTATCTGACGGGAGCCGTATCTGTCTCTCTGAGCTTACGTAGCTCATTATATTCAATTGCTAGAAATCACACACTCTTGAAGAGGTTTTGTTTAATAATTTTGAGATACTCCCATTTAATCTAAGCAGAATAGATTTTAGTCTGACTATATATCTTATACTAGATGAAGTCAGGAGATGAATCCCCCCCACAGTATTTTGAAAGGAGCCATTTGACATGGAAAAAGGCATGAGAAAACTATTCACTTGTTTGCTAAGAGTAAAAAAATAAATTAAATGATGCATTTTTGTTCACTTTTTCACTAGCAGTTTCATGTAAACTGGATGCTTAGCAGGAGAGCTAGTGTATATTAAAGATTCTAACAAGATTGTGAGGACTTTGAATTGTTCTGTAAGATAAGAAAAATAAAATTGCAGTTTTAAACCCCTTAAAAGCTCTGGTCAGATCTCTGCCATAGAGTATAATTGGCTCTGATGAGATCTGCTCTCAGCTGAAGCAGAACCTCGTTACTGAGATTGAAAAATCATGCAAGTTTTAATGATCAAAAGCACTCAGTTTGAGTGACACAATGAAGTGCTATTTCAAAAATCAACAATTATAGATTAATCTCTTTCATGTATTATTAAAGCCATATTAAAGTGAGTTTTCGGCTGGAATCTTTGTGGGCAAATGAAACTGCAGTGATAAGATTTGTTCGTGCAATGCAACAAATGAACATTGTGGTAGTTAACAAATGCAGTGTTGTTAGATTTCCTGTAATCTTAGAATCAACATCCATGATGCTTATCTGGTGGATCTGAATGAGATTTCAAGAACTTGACATCATAATTTTCCTGTAAAATATTTTTAGGTATGATGACTGAGCTTAATTGATAGCATGCTCATCATCACTTAAAAAACCACGAACTAGAAGCAGTGAACTAGTTCAGACCTATTTTCTACCATCTCTGGAAACATCGTTTGGCTCCAGATTACCTTAATTGCAGGAATCTCTGCCTGTCCTGTCGCTGAACATCATAAAACCAGAAACTCCTGTAGTTTCTAGTTAGGGTGTGGGGACGAGTTAGTGTCTGTGTGGGAGGCAGAGGTTTTCTCAGTCTTGGTTGAAGAAATTCATATCCTGAACAGTCCAGAGGGTCTTGTGAGTTATTACCTAATTTAAATGCTAGGGTTTTTTTTTTTCCTGGAATTTGTTTGCTCTGGAGAGGAATGAATGAATGAAGGCAATTCTTTTTTTTCCAAAGTGATGAACTGGAGTCTCCTTTTCTTCTGATTGCTCTTGGTTTTTTTTTTTAATGGCAATCAGATTTTGCTGCAGCACAGCATTTGAGCAGCCCTGAAACCATTTCTGAGCCTCTAATAATTTTATGTGCTAGGCATCCTGGCAGGGGAAAGCTTCCAGTTCAGGGTTGTTATCTGTGGTAAGCTAGATAATGTCAGATGGGAGAATTTGCAGTGCTTTCAGAAGCTGTCTCATCTGATATTAAAAAATAAATATATGGGCTCTGGCAGTGTCCAGAGTCCTGCTGTCCTCATGAGGAAAGATTGTGGAAGAGAAGCTTGTTTCCTCTTTGTTGAAAGGAGAATATTTTTTTCTGACAGTTGGAGAGAGAGGGGATAAATTTTTTTGGGTCGTGATAGGAGCTTGCATAGAGCCCTACGAGAAGGGGACAGCACTGACAAATTATGAATGCTGTCCTAGGGACCTGGCTAAATTTAGTACTTTCAAAAAATCCTGCTTCTGTGAGTTGAGGGGAAAGAAAGAAAAAAAAAAGTCTTGCTGAAATCCCTTCCCCAGTATAAAGTAGGTCACTGATAGTGGTGTTGGCTGTCTCCTCAGCAGCGTGTTCTCTTCTGCACTACTACAGCGCAATTGCTGATTTCTCCTGTGTGCACATTAAATACATAGCACAGTACAATTCCTTTGCTTTGTTCACAGAGTCCTTATTTCTGAGCAGGAATAGTGTCAGGAGGCTCATGCATTGGGGGGGAGATCAGGATTAATCATATCTGTGCAGTGGAAAGCAGTGTCTCAGATGGCAGACTGCGATAAGGTTTTCTGAAAAGAATCAGCATTGATAGGTGTCAGCCCTCTGAAGATGTTATAAAGGTTGTAACATTTAATCCTCCTGATGTGAAGGTGTTGGATTGTCTGCCTCTCTTCATCAGTGCTGGAACATGGGAGGAGAAAGTCCAGAAGAGCAAAACAGCTTTTTATATGGCATCAGCAGGATATTCCTGATTAAATCCAAACTTCTGTGCTATTTGGTTTAAGCAAATCTCATGGTTTCTTGTTTATGCACGCACACGTCCAATGGCATAAAAGTAGGTGCTCTAATGTGCTTTGGGTGTTCAAGTTCAGCCATGGTTTCAGTTTATCTCATTAGGGAATTGAAGTTTTCAGCCATAAGGAGACATGTGCAAGTACACTTCAGCCTGGTGGATGAGCTAACTCATTCTCTTCTTTAAATCCATTATTAAAGTGGTTATTAATTTGTCTTTTCCATTTTGATTATTTACGCTAACTTCCATTTTAATGGGAACATAAGTTTTAGGAGAGAGTTGAACAGAAAGCTGAATTTGAAAGCTCAGCTTAGTATGTAGACTTACCCTGGTCAGCAGCCTATGTATGTAGGGAGTGAGATTTTGGGTGAACTTGTCAGCAGGTGAATTTCTTCTTTCTCCATTATCTGAAATCCTCAGTCGCTTTCTGTGTAGCCCAGTGCTGATGATAGATTTTCTATTCCAGAAGGTGAGTGTTTAAATTCACTTATAAATCTTTGTGTTACTGCTCCAGGAAATTAGACTTCCTGGCACTGTCAGGGTAATGACTTTAACTTAGGAGATTACAAAAATGCTGGCAATTTGTCTTCAGCTAAAGGCAACATGTAGTGTGGGGAGAGAGAAACTTCACTGAAGCTTTTCTCTGACTTTAGGTTTGTAATTAAGATTAGCTGCTGTTCTCATTTCACAGCCATTTTAATTTGCTTTCTTAAAACCTTTACAAGTTGACTCAAGCACTCACCTGCCCTTTCCAGCTCCCTTCAATCATTAATTTTGATTGTTGTGTTGTGAATAAGTGAGTAGAACTGATTGATTAATGGTACCATCCACACCCCTCCTGTGCCTACTAGTGGAAATACAGGGACTGGGAAGATCTCCTCTGTGAGAGCAAGTAACAAGTTTTTGTAATATCATCTTTTAGGTATTTCATGCGTGTTGTTGAGAATTCCTATCAGAATTATTAAGTATCTTTTATTTCTGTTGCTTTACTAAGTAGAGTGTTCATTTTGGTCCCATGTGTTTTGCATAATTTACAAAGCAGTGAAAGATTTCTCATCTGTCTTCCAGTGCTTTGAGTCAGAGAAAATTTATTACCTTGA